GCACTTTTGATATAAACCAACTGTTAGCTACCATCAACCCCCCCCCCATTTAGGATTTGGTCCCCATCTTGGTTCTGAATACAGAATGAGAATGTTCTCTGCACATATCCAGAACAGCACCTGATCACTCTCTGACCTTAAAGAACAGAAATGTGAACTGAAAACACAGTCTCCAAGGTGGCAACCATCGTCTGTGCACCAAAATCCAACAACGAAAAGACAACAGACTAGATTATGTTATGTCCACTTCATGATTTCTAGAAGCACCTTTCTGAATATTGTGATGAATTCACAGGCACATGAAAACAGCTGCATGCAAATATGAGGCTATACTAAACACTGGTTATTAAAAAAGTCCAGAAAAGATATGGGCTTCATATAGTTTTTATAACATTATCAGGCTGACGAAATCACCAACAAAACATCTCATCCTGCATTTAATAACCAACTTACATCCATCCATCAACAAAAAACGGGATGCAAACAAAAAAACTCATTAAAAATAAATTAATATCTGCCCACATGAAAGCAGAGCCACTAGGACTAAACTGGTATTCTACAGAACAAAATCAGCACTGAATGCAGCAACATGAGGCTAAACCTGACAACATCCCACATCACCTGCAACGACTTACTGAGAAAGCTTTCCTTCACAGGCTTTGTTTAAAACAAATATACCATGCTTTTCAAAGACTAGGGTGTTTGCTGAAACAACCCTACCAATACCAAAAAAAAAAAAAAAAAAAAGTATTTTCAACTTCAATCCTTGCCCTTAGCTACAAAGAAACCCACAGAATAACATCAAACCAGCACTGTAAAATGAGGCACAGTCAGTATTTTCTACACTAATTCAGGTAATTGCTGAAAATTAAAAAAAGAAAAGGACAACATCAAATGTCCTTGAAAAAGACAGGGATGAAAACATAATCTGGAAATATAATCAATCAGTTTAAACACAGAGCAGGCACTGATAAATCAAAGACCACATCCATTCAGGGGAAAAAAAAACAAAACAAAACAAAACAAAACCAAACAAACCCCAAACAAACAAACAAAAAACCCAAAACCTCAAACCAAAACCAATCACCTTTTTGAAAACTGAAATTATAACCAAATATGTGAAAAAATGGAATTTCCAAAGTAGTTGTTGCAAAAACATATTGTCTCTAAGAACAAAAATATTTATTTTTACAACTACTTAGAAACCAATTTTTATTAAAAAAGGCCATAGAGAATTACTTCAGACCATGACAGCACAGAACTTTTACAAGTTCCATTTCAATCTGCACATTCATATGAAAAACCCCACTTCACAACAGTGGATGTGAATACAATTACATATACATGTATGTACCTATATCTACATATCTGTTTGAGGGGGCCATATGTAACCCCACTGCTACCACAGGAGAAGAAAAACTCACCTTGTGACAAACTTCTGATTTAATTTCTCTGAGAGCCCGTTCAGAAAACACACAGCCACAGTTTCTCAAGAAGCAAAACCTTCAAATAAAAGACAAGAAGACATAAAATAATTTTTAAGGAAACCTGTATCTAAAGGATACTTGCAGTGCTGATTTAACACAAAAACAACACTGCAATGGGCACCTGGCACACACTTAGCTTTTTCTTTACAAATTCTTGCAGGTAATCAAGTGCCTCCCTCCTGCAGATAGGAGGGCAAATATCCCCCACAAAAGCTTGAATAAGTAGATGACTTGCAACGTTATAGAGTCAAGCATTTTTACCTGGTCTATATTCAGTTTAGCACTGTACTCACTTCTAAAAACAAAATCCAGAAACTTAAATACTGACCTATGTCTTCCATTCATTTCGAGTCCCACCACAGGGCATATGAAGCATGCAGACTGGCTGTCATCGTATTTGTCACCTTTTATGCTCTCCTTATCACCATTCCAAGCTGGATTGTCTGTGAGCTTTAGTTCTGTTACATTCTGAGAAATGAAAATGGAAACTTTAAGCTGTTAGAATCATTTAACAATGATTTTTCAAGCCATTCTGTAAGAATTTTTTCATTGTGCTTTGCTATTTTTAACACCTTTCACGTATAGAATCACAGAATCTATATAAGTTATATAAAATATGTATGATACCTATAATTTAGTCTAGTGAGAACACAAGCCAGTTGAGTTTTTGTGCCACTGTGCCATGTTTTAACCCCCATGGCAATTTTTAATATTAGAGACAACCTGTTTACCTTAATGCTTTTGATATGGGATGCAGCTTCCATAGGAGTTTTATCAGCTGACTTGTCCAACAAAAATTCAATGACAGCATCCTTATTGTACAACCTGTAACACAAAATTTTCAGTGTGTTTGATTCTCATACCAGTTTTTATTTATAAATTAGGACCTTTTAATAAAAGAGTTTCCTGTCTGGAAACCTTCATACCTGCCAAGCTCACAGGCTACGATCGGGCGCCGTAACTTCTCCTGACTCAGAGCACAGTAGGTCCATCTGGCCACCAACTCAGCAGTTTTGTCAACCTGAAGGAGAAAAAGTACTCATGATTTTAAAACAGCTTTCATATTTACAAATGATTTAAACATAAAATCAATTAACACATAAAACATTAAACAAATCCCCAAGCATCTTACCCAATCTACTTTCTGCGCTCAAAGCTAATCTGGAAAACAACTGCAGCAAAACTTTTTAGCAAAGTTCATGCTCAGTTTCATGGGTCTACCTGTATCTGTTGAACACATTTCTGCATCACAGCACTTGGGACTTATCTCCCTTGCTCTAACTCAATTTTCTTCTTTTTTTGCCACTTCCACCTGTTCTCCTCTCTCTATATTCACCTTCTACGTGTTCTCCACTAACCTCCTCTCTCTCGTTCTACATCTCACCCCTGCTTGAGTCTCCGACTAGTTCCACTCCCTGTAAGGAACAAACTAACAAGAAAAGGCAATCCAGAGATCTCAAGGTGCTACCTGAACCTCCAGCCTAAACCCATGAATTTTGTGGCACGTTAGGCCATAAAAGAAAAGCTGAGGTTCACAGCTATTCTGACAGTCAGATGTGGGGAGGAAATGGATTCAATTTACTCATGTTACATCAGTAAGTGTAATTTGCCTGTTTTCTGCCACTGCCTGTGAGATTTTTCGGATCTTCACCCACCTTCCACACATGTGATGACACTGTATCTATTACCCTAAAACATCCTAGGAAGAGTCCAAGCAACATGCATAATGCAAGCACACAGAATGCAGAAAAGGCCACGTTCAACACCACCACCAATCACAGAATGTTCAGGGTTGGAAAGGACCTCGGAAGATCATCTAGTCCAACCCCCCTGCCAGAGCAGGATCACCTAGAGTACATCACACAGGAACAAGTCCAGGCAGGTTCTGAATGTCTCCAGAGATGAAGATTCCACAGCCTCTCTGGGCAGCCTGTTCCAGGGCTCTGTCACTCCTGCTGTGAAAGTTTTTCCTTTTGTTTACCCAAAACCTCCTGTGATCCAGCTTGTACCTACTGCCCCTTGCCCTATCACTGGATGTCACTGGGAAGAGCTTGGCTTGTCCCTTGTCCTCCCAACACTTGCCCTTTCCATGTTAATAGACATTAATGAGGTCAACCCTCAGTCTCCTTTTCTCCAGGCTAAAGGAACCCAGCTCCTTCAGCCTTTCCTCATAAGAGAGATGCTCCACTCCCTTAATCATCTTAATGACTCTACACTGGACTCTCTAGTAGCTCCCTGTCTACCCTGGACTGGGGTGCACAGAACTGGATACAGCACTCCAGGTGTTGTACTCTATCCCTTCATCCAGGTCACTGATGAATAAACTGAACAGCACCGGACTGGACCCAGAACCGACCCCTAGGGGACACCACTAGCCACAGGCCTCCAACTAGACTCTGCTCCACTGACCACAGCTCTCTGGGCTCTGTCCTTCAGCCGGTTTCCAATCCATCTCGCCAAGCAACCCTCCAAGCAGCACTTTTAAAGCCTGGCTGAGGGGATACCATGGGAGACAGTATAGAAACCTTTGCTGAAGTCAAGATATACCACACCCACTGCCCTCCCCTCATCTATCCATCTAGTTGTGTAATCACAAAAGGCTACCAGATTAGACAACCACGAATTCCCTTTGGTGAACCCATGCAGACTAATCTGCCCACACTATTAAACCGCCTGGCAGGAGTGCTACCAGCAGACACCATATCCCGAGGTGTGGGAGGTCGCTAAGCCCCACGCGTGCAGCAGAATGCCTTACGCCCCCAAACCCTTCGCCAGACGGGGATCT